CCATGTTGGTTTTTCTGAGAAACTCCCTAGTTCGAGGGTCAAGGAGTCAAAAATAATAAAGCCAAATAAAAATATCAGATGATTTTCTGTGTTATTCTAATTATTCTTACCTTGGATCCACTGACATTTTAAGATAATATTTATCAATTGGTCGTCCTGAGAGAATGATAAGAATGACAACAGCTGACATTTATTGAATACTAAACATACGCCTGTTACTGTTCTACGAGCTTTGTATGGATTGTCAGATTTATCTTTCTAATGGTCTATGAGGAAGGTAATCACATAATCTCCCTTTTACAGAGGAGTAACCCGAGACAAAGTTTAGGCAGCTTTTCCAAGGATTTGACAAGTGAGTAGCAAACCTATAAACATGAAACCAAGCAATTTGAAATCAGTCTATCCTTCTTTACTAGTAAACTTTGTATTAAACTATAACATGGATAAAAGTATACAAATCATAAGTGTGCAGCCCAGTGAATTTTCACAAAGTAAACCCACTTGGGCAATACCACTTAGATCAAGAAATAAAGCACGACCAGCGCCGTAGAAGTTTTTCTTTATGCCCCTTTCCAGTTATTATTTCCTTCCCAGAGATAACTATTATCCTGATTCCTAACATCATAGCTTAATTTTGCTTCTTTATGAACTTCATAGAAATGGAATCAAACAGTATTTTCTCTTTTGGGTCTGGCTTCTTTTACCCAACATTATGATTGTAAATGTTATCAATGTCACTGTATAGAGAAGTAGCCATTTTATTTTTACTGTTGCATTCTAATATATGACTATAATATTATAGTATTCTAATATATGACTATATCCCAATTTATTCATTTTATTGTTGAGGAAAATTTGAGCAGTTTCCAGTTTAGGGCTCTTAAAAACTAATGCGACTGTGAAAACTCTTATTCATGTATTTTGATGCACATATGTTTATTTTCATGTTGGGTATATACGTATATACATATATACATATATACGTGTGTGTGTGTGTATGTGTATATATATATATATATATACACATACACACACACACATGAAATGCAATTGTTAGGGTTATAGGGCATGTGAATGCTCTCTTTAACTGAAAACTTCAAACAACTTTCAAAGTGTATCAATTTATACTTCCGCCAGCAGTGTATGAGATTTCCAATTATTCCACATCCTCATCAACACCTCATCAACACCTAGTTTTCTATTTTTGGCTATTCTTCTTGATGTGTATTAATACTTTATTTTGGCTTTAATTTGCATTTCTCTAATAACTAATGTTGAGCAAAACATTCAGTACCTGTTCAAGTCTTTTGCCCATTTTCTATTAGGTTGTTCATATTTTGCTCAGCGATTTTTAGAAATCTTTATATATTCTGAATATTATCCTTTGTCAGAAATATATATGTTGCAATGATCATATCTTACTGTTTCGCCTTTGCACTCTTATAATGGTATACTGATGAGGAAAAGTTCTTGTATCTTTAACCTCCACACTATACTGCTTCAGTCGCAGAAAAGGATAGTAATTTTTTGTGTCATCATAATAATGGATACCTTAGGAAGCCTTCTTTTTAAATGACATTTTAAAGTTATGTTTTTCCAGTGTAGCCTAATAAATCATGATTATTGATCATTGAACAAACTGTCATGATCAAACTGGACTGTATATCACCTAGAACATCTAGAAACAATTATGTGTGTTGGTTTTTTGGTCATAAAGATAGAAGCATAATCTCACCTATTAAAATCTTCCTCAAAAATCACACTGATTCAGAGAACAGATGAGTAGTTGCCAGAGGTGTGAGAGGGGGAAGTGGGAAACGGATGAGGGTGGTCAAAAACTTCTGGTTATAAGGTAAATAAGTCCTAGGGCTGTAATGTACAGCAGGGTGACTATAGTTAACAATACTTTGTTATATATTTGAAAGCTGATAAGAAAGCTGACTTTAAAAGTTCTTATTAAAAGAAAAAAATTGTAACTATTTTGAAGGTGATGGATATTAACTGAACTTATTGTAGTGATCATTTCATAACATACACATATATTATCAAATCATTATGTAGTATACCTTGGACTAATAAAATGTTATATGTCAATTATATCTCAATAAACTGTGAGAAAGAATCACAGTTTCAATGAACACTTCATCAAGAAAAAATAGAAAGGTAAACTAAAAATTAAAAAAGTTTAAATGACTTTTCAACTGGGTTCTACTACGACTGGTGTAGGAGTGGATGGATAACCAGAATGGGGAGTTTTTCATGTCAGCCTGCTGATAATGACCTCTTTAGGTAATATAATTGATTTGGCTAACTGAATTCTCATATTGTTTAGTTGGCTTGTTTCTGGTATTTTTCCCTTGGAAATGGCTTAACTTCAGTTTTTGGGTTGTTTTTAAGCAATGAGACTTCTTATATTCCTCATGTTTGTTTGTTTTTTAATTTTTTTTTTTTTTTTTTTTTTTACTTTCACTACTCTAGGTGTTTTTGTTTCTTAAAGTTTCTAATAGAGGTGGGATTTTCAGTTGATTATTTTGATAGTATAGTTGGTGACACACATACAAATTTATTTCTAAAAACATGATTTCTTAAAGGAAGTAGCATTGATTTGAGATTGAAAATAATGATTTACTTGTAAACTGTAGTGTCTACCCTATGTTTTCTGGTTCAGTGGATATAACATTCTTATCTAAAAATTGCTTTATATAGTAAAAATGCTTCATTTATTAAAGCAATGTTCATTTTCTGCTTGTACTTGTCAAGTAAATACTTCCTCTCATAGTAGATAAACTCTGAAATCTCAATGGCTTAATACAATAGAAGTTTATGCTGGTAGTTCTGTGTTTAAATGGGGAGAAAAATATTTTCTAATCCATGGTCTATCAGAGATGTAAGCTAATAGAAACTCTTGCTACCTTCAACACATGGTATCCAAAACTGCCCAAATCTAGTCAGAACATGGGGTAGAGAAACAGTGGAGGACTCAGTGGGAGATTTTATGGATCAGGCCCAGAAGTGATATAAATCATTTCCACCCACATTCTACTGGCCTGAACTCAGTCTCATGCCTTCACCTACGAACACGGGAGGCTGGGAAATGAGGTCGCTGTAATAATTCTATTTCATGGTTAGGAAGCTTGAACATTTAATGGTCAGTCAGCCATTCACAACTTTTGTTGTTACCAAGCTGAAAACTGAGAGCTGCAACTCTAAGACAGGAAGGGGTATTTTTTTAGAGCTGGAGTTCTTGCCATTTAAAGAAATCCAGATTGTCCAGTGGAATTATTCCCAATCCCCACTGATTGAACCTTACCATGGCCTCTTTTTTCCTACCCATTTTTAATCTCAGAGGCCCCATGAATTTCATCTCCTGAATTTACTTAATTAGAGATTCCTGCTTACATATTCCCCAAGAACAGCCCCTGGTCCTGCCATTCTGGTCGCTCCCATCCCAGAGCAAGCCTCATCTTCCTTTCATTTTCTGACTCATCTCCTTTCTGGTCCCCAAACACTGACAATCCCCAGCAGCCAATCCTGCAGTGTAGAGCAATAAGTTTCACCAGGTCCATTACAATTCTCTTTCTTAGTGTATTAGTTCACTGTCTTTTTCAGACAGCAGTTGAGAGGAATAGAGGTTCTTTTCAAGCAGCTAATGAGTGCTTAGCACTTTAGATAGAAATTGTTCCCTTATAACAGTATCGTAGTCAGCTTTAATAAGCATTTTTGTCTTCGGTAATATTTTTCAAGGGCAGATTCCTAAACCAACATTATACAAGAGCCTCTAACTTTATGTTACCTTTCATAGAACATTCTTTTACTTAAGAGCAATGACAAGAGCCAGAAATAACATCCCTAAGCAATGCCTTATATTGCATTAGTTAGATTTGCCCTTATCTTTGCTCTCGTGTCTGTTTTAACTAAATACATGTCTATACTGCTCTCACCTGAAGGTCTTGGATTTTTTACATCTAGAGACTTAACTTCTGGTTCAGCAAGAACTATATAAAGTGTGACACTAAAGCAAGGGTTAGCACTCTGCAGTCTATGGCCAAATCCAAGCTCGTCCTATGTTTGTAAATAAAGCTTTATTGGAACATAGCCATGCCTGTTCATTTAGATTGTCTATGGCTGTTTTCACATTACAATGGCAGAGCTAAAGGATTGTGACAGAGTCTATGTGCACCTCAAAGCTTAAAATATTTACTACCTGGCCCTTTACAGAAAAAGTTTGTTGACCCTTACTTGAAAGGAAAGAGGATTTTTCCTATGGAGTTGATATGTGAGCAGGATTTTGAAGACTAAGTAACATCTTATAGGCAGGGTTTAAGGAAGATGCAGAGAGAATGTTTTTGTTAAAAAGAATAGATGAGCAAAACATAGTGATATGTGTGAGAACAATGGTTCACTTTGTTTTGTCAGTGAATAAAAACCAAAAGAGGAGAACTAATGGGAGATGAGCAGCAGAGGCAGACAGGGAGAAGCCAGAACATCCTTACCAACTTTAGACTAAGCAAGAGAGATTTTCCCTCCATAGGTCAGTATTTCTCAGAGCATTTCCAATAAACACTGACAAATTTTATGGAAGAATAAGAGAAAAGGTGCCCTGTGGTTAAAAATATTTGGTAAGTATTCGGTTAATCAACATTCAGTAGTTGTTGCAGGACTTCTCAGAGCCTTTAAATTGCTTCTCTCCATTGGAAATCTCTACAAAAGATTTCTCTATATAGATAGAAGAGACTATAGCCTGTAGAATTCCTGGCTTATTTGACTACACACCCTTCTTTGGCTAATTACCTTGCAGAACTAGTATTCACAGAAATAGTATTCACCAAAACACTTTGGAGAATTATGCTTGAACAATAGGCAGCCAGTGGAAGGATTTAGGCTGAAGTGAGATGTGACCAGACTTGTGTTTTAGAATTGCTTTGGCAGCTGTATGAGGAATGGGTTGTCAGAAAGAAAGACCAAATGCAGAGAGACAAAATAAGAAGCTGGTGCAACAGTCCAGGTGAAAGGTGATGGGGAATAATGCATTATTTCCCAACATTTATTTGTGTAACATGTCTGTAACAAAAAGAAAAAGAAAAGAAAATTAATAGTCTTGTCTTATAGAAGAGGTTTCCTGGCTAGAGTGAAAGTTACCTCAGGATCAAGATCCCCCCCATTGCTAGGAACCACCAAAAGTCTGCAGCTTAGATTGTTTGCCTTAGATCTCATCCCCAGCCAATCCCTGTACCCAGACCTGACACCTGGTTCTGGTTTTTAGTTCTTGCAGGTCACCTGGTTTATCATTGCTTGCAGGGTCTTTGACTGGTCACTTTATTTTCCTGCAGCATCTTAACTCCTTGGACTCTGCCTTGCTCGACTGCCTTGCCTTGCTTTCCAGTACCTAGGCTGCCTGCCTGCAGACTGGTTCCATCACCTTATTTTCGTGTGCCTACCCACTCTCCCAGTGTCATTGCTCTGCTTGCTGACAACTCCAGCATCATTGCCCCACACTAGGGCTCCACCCTGACTTCCTTAACCCATGTAGTTCTTAGTCCGGCCTACTCTGCCTTTTCTACCTTCCATACCAGGTTTTACCATATGCAGAAAAAAACATTTTCTAATCACCTGCTGCTGCTTTCTGCCTGGAACCTCTAATGTTGCTGCAACTAATTGAGCCAAAAATTTGACAACAAAGAAAAAAATTAAACTCTACCTGATATTTTTTTCCAGGGGATTTCCAAAACTTCTTAACAATTCCCTCAGGTTTCCCTGGGGCTGAGTGATTTTTCTTTCCCAAAATATTAGCCCAGAAACAGATTTTGAGATAAACCATCTTGAAAATGACTATACCCACACTTCATTCTCCCCTTCTCCCTTACCACATTTAAAGGACGCTTTCTGTATTTCTACCTTTATGAAGGGAGAAAGGATGATCCAAGGCATCTCCAAGAAACAAACCAGGACTGGACCTCTTGAGAAAAATCTGATTCTCCTCCAGTGTGGCCATTATGACTCCTATTTCATTTCTGTCATGTGGCCTGAAGGCACTCCCCTCACAGGGCTATTCAACCCTGTCCAGTTAACCTTGTTATTCCACGCAGAGCACATGCTGTCCCAGGAGTGGTCCAGTCGGGAGGGGCCAGAGAGGTGCTAAGCCAAGAGATTCCAGGGAGAGCAGAGGCCGCTCAGCAAGAAGGGGTGTTAAGAGCCTTGGTCAGAAGCCGGCTGGCTCGGAGGAGCACAGAGTGGTTTGGCTGGGAGGTAATGAACACCCTTTGTCCTGCAGAGTCTACCAGATCCCACCGCTGGGCTCAGCAGAGATCAAGCTGGGTGTGTTTCAGCCACATGCCTTCCTCACTACCCCCACAGTCCCTGGCTGTGGTCTGGTCCTTTGCTCAGCCAAAATATGTGATTTCTTCTGGTGAGCTGGCAGCTGCACGCTATGAGCTGGACTGAACAGTGTATGTCCCTGTTCCCTTGCCTCGTTATTTTACAACTAAACAATCAGCATATTTCTGTGAAAGCCTGTCTCCTTTCCTGAGTTCTGAACCACTATTCATTCAGGAACACATTTTAAGCTTTCTTGTCCTAATGAATGTCAGACACATGTTTGAGAGAAGAAAAAGGATGGCTCTGTAAAGGAACAGTTACCTCTAAGTGATAAAAGATGTGAATGGGCTCTCAAAGTACTTGCTCCTAATTATTCCATTTCTGAGAGACTTGACTGTTAAAACCTAAGCTAGCTCTAGAAACATTTGAAACCTCATATTTCCATCTGGCCTGGAGGATGCTGAACTTACAGAATTCCTAGCCAACTCAGAGACTTTAGAATTGAGATTTAAGGACAGCATTTTTTTCTACAGACTTATGTTTCAGAAAAGCAACAACAATCAGTGTCAGGTAATTCTTTTCAGAGAGTGTAGCCTTCTGTTTATTTTATATTTTTAAAACTTCAGGTAAGAAGAGGAGGCTAATCTCTAAAAACTCAAAGTTGATAAAAAATATGTTGAAGGGAAGGACTACCCTGTTCCTCTGAGTTCTTCTAACAGATTTCACTTAGCATTGTATGATTTCACTTACATTACGTATGTGTGTATATCTGAAATGAATGTGTGTGTGTGTATAATGATATGTAAATGATATGTAAAATACAACCTCCTATTTAAAACTCTGACCAAGCTGGAAACATCTTTCTTATCATATTCTTTCAGCGAAAAATTCATTATACTGTATAAGAGTCGAATCAAATAAACTCATATATTTTTTGAGTTTCAAAGTTTGGGGATTTTTTTTTTTTAAGTATAAAGTTCTTATTGCAAGCAGGATAAAAGCCAGATTCAAAGGTCAAGTTTTTTAAAGTACTAGAACAACTATATTTTAGTTCCTTAAACTTTTTTCAAGATGAGAGAAGCAAGTAATATTTTAGATCCCAGTATATTTTCATGTATCTGCCAAAACTACTACTAATAATGTACTATTAATAATGATTTAATGTAAAGGAAGAAAGGGAGAGAGAGAGAGAGAGAGAGAGACAGAGAGAGAGTGGAGGAGGAGGAAGAAAGGAGGGAAGGGGGAAGGAAGAAGAGATAAATTAATTTGT